AGTCCAGAGCTGCTTAAAGCGCCTGCTATGCTTGCGTAACCATTCGGATACTTAGCGAGGGGGAGTGTTGAACAGGCGCTGGTTTACACAGCTTGCCTAACACAGCCGTCACAAGATATGGAACGGCACAGCCGGTTACTGCAATAACTGAGGCTGTACTACTCATGTGGTACACACACAGCTTCGCTGTGTACGCACTGCTTCTCTGTGCGACTGTGCATCCTGGGAATGTACTGTATAGTACTACGTAGCCACAGATGTACAGTAGTATATATAGGGGACCTCTGTACCCCCAATCTACAGTTCAGTTCACTCGAACATCTCCTTTCATCGCTCTAACAAGCCTCTTACAATCAACAACCCTTCTAGGTGAGTTGCAGGCTATCCGCTGCCATTGCCACCCGTGGGAGAGGCCTTCGCCCCCGGGTTCAACACAGACGGCCAGGAAAAAGGCGGTCGTCATTGGGTTCGTGGATACGCAGCAGGGACACATGAAAAACGTCGTGAATGCCCCTCCTCCTCAAGCTAGGAGGGAGTTCCACTCGGAAGGAGGAGTTATGGTAGTCACGTACAATGCGGTATGGCCCAATATATTTCGGAGCGAGCTTACGAGCCAGTCCCTTAGATAGAGAGATGTTCTTAGTAGAGATATAGACCAAGTCTCCTTCAGAGAATGGAGCCGGCCTCCGACGGCAGTTAGCATCTCGAACATGCTTGGTCCTGGCCGCGATCACACTGTCATGCGCCGCCATGATGGCCGACTTGACTTTCTGTGCGTAGATACATACCCCAGGGTACTCGTCCTGAGTTGGGCGATCCCAAATCATTGGGCGCGGCATACAGCCAGTGTTGAGGAAGAACGGAGCGAACCCAGTAGCGTCGGACCAGGCCATATTGATGGCGAACTCAATCCCTGGCAGCCTAGCCACCCAATCCTTCTGATCTGGTCTGATGCATTGTCTCAGCATTTGCGATACCGTACGGTTAGCACGCTCAGTAGAACTGTCGGATTCTGGGTGATAAGCACTGGACATACGCAACTCTACACCAATAAGCTTGTGTAGGTGGGACCAAAACGCACTAGTGAACAGGACGTCGCGGTCGCTCACTATAGCTTTAGGTAACCCATGCAGCTTGTAGACCTCCGAAAATACCAACTCAGCAACATCTCTAGCCCGATAGGTAGTCTTAGAGGGTATTAGATGTACCATCCCAGTTAGGAAATCTATGATGGTCATGATAGAATCATACGTGCTGTCCCGGTCTTTAGAATCGGGCAAGGGTCCCATGAAATCTAGCCCAATCGCCTCCCAAGGAGTAGTAGGGACGGGTAGAGGATTAAGTAGGCTGTAAGGCTTCTGATTAGCAGGTTTACTATGCTTACACGTTTTGCACGAGTCGCAATAAGACTGAACGTCGGGGAGAAGTGTCTTCCACCAGACGTGGTCGCGTAGAAGATCGGCCGTCTTCCTAGGTCCTAAATGCGCTAGCAAAGAGTGGGCGTGAGAGATTACTATCTCCCTAGCACTACGCCCGTTGACTATGATGTGTGGGATGCACAGAAGTTCACGCCCACGTTCTCTAAGAAAGACTATGCCGTCAAGGATGCGGAAATTCTTGTACTGGCGTGGGTTCTTGACTATCAGCGCAAAAAACGCGTCTTCTGAGTATCTGCCTCGCAGTGCGCCCTCCAGGTGGATACCATCCCGAGAGCTTGCTATGTGGTCCAGGAGCTGGGCTTCCGAACGTTCCGGGTGCTCCGCTGAAGTACTGGGCTCGGTCAGAGGCAGAGAAGGTCCGCTAGCAGGTTCAGCCTCAGTGGGCTTGACAGCTGCTTCAGTGCTGGGAATGTCGGGGTTAGCTTGCTGTGTACCCGCGCCCTCCTGTCGTTGTGCACTAGGAGGGTGGAGAACGACACGCTTAACATTTGAAAAAACAGCCTTTGCGAATTGACACTGATTATTACTATTCAGATAATCTCATCTATATTAGCAAGTGTTAGCAGAGATGACATCTACATTAGAGCTACTATTCAGACGCACTTCTTCAGTAGTGCAACTAAGCACTAATTAGTATACTTGGTACTAGTTATAACTACTCTTCACTATCGCTTTTTCTATAGTGCCATGTAGTGCCAACATGATACTACTATAGCACTACTGCAAATGTGGTCCTCTAATTTTCGCTATTTTGCACTACTGTAGTACTATTTTGCGCTATTTTAGCGCTACTCATTTAGGGGAGACTCAAATAAGATGACAATCCTTTATTTATAGCTCATAGTTCTCAACTCAAGCATTACACACCTCTATAGCTGCAAAATCACCATGATAGCTGACTTATATTTGAGGGCACAACTCAACATAGAACTTGTTATCATGTATAGGACTAGGCTGTCAGCACAGCATTC